TGAATATAGTATAACGTGAAGCAGAGATGGGGCAAGATTGGGTTTAACGTAATCTCCCTTAATACCTCCATCCCCCTCCCCACCCCACTCAACCCACCTCTATATCCTACGCCCTTGGAAAAAAATCTCTCCCCACTCCCTCTCCGCTGTCCTGGAGTCATCCGAACTCCTGTCCCTCTGGCCCTCTCTCACAATGACCTACCCTCTTTGCTCTCTCTTCTCCACAACTCCCTCTCCTTGCTATCCTCACCTCCTGAACTGCCTCCGACTTACGTAAATGCCTCTGGTACACCAGCCATCTCCGATCCCTCAAGGCCACCAAACACACCTGGACCAAATCAAACCTGAAGGTCCATCGGCAGATCTGGTTTGACCACAGTAAGACCTGCCTCCACCCTCGCCTCCGCCAAATCATCCTTTTACTCCAAGTCTTGGAGGCCAAGGACAACCCACGGCTCCTCTTCCCCACCACTGACCGCCTCCTCCGTCCACCTTCCCGCGCCTCGTCCATCCTCTCCTCCAATTCCAAATGCCACGAGTTGTTGGACTTATTTGAATCCAGAATCAAGGGGATTTGTTTGGCTTCCTCTCCCCCTCACCACCTCCCCCTCACGCCACCCATCCCTCCCTATACCTTCGACCCTGTCTCCCCCTCTTCCCTCACCACCATCCCCACCCCTCTCCTTACCCCCCAGCTCCACCTCATGGCCCCTCTTTTAACCAACATTATAAACCACTCCTTATCCACTGGCACTGTTCCCAGCCCCAGGCCAAAGACAACTAAGAACAGATGTCATCACCCTATCTGAAAACCTTCTCTGGACCCTGGTTGGTGATGGGACGATAGCTGGAGATCCTTCCTTTCCCTGGATCTCCAGCTATTGCTCCATCTCCAGCCTCCCTTTCCTCTCCAAGACCCTGGAATGTGTCGTTGCAACCCAGCTTCGCTCTTTCCTCTCCCGCCCTTCCCCTCTGAACCCCTCCAATCAGGTATCCGTGCTGCCCACAGCACAGAAACAGCCCTGGTCAAAGTCACTATCAACATCCTGAACATCTGCGACCAGGGCTCTCTCTGCTTCCTTGTCCTCCTCGAGCTCTCTGCTGCCTTTGACACTGTTGACCATTCTCTCTCTCTCTCTCTCTCCCTGTAATGTTATTGGAGCTCTCTCTCAACTCAATCTTCCACCGCCTCTCCTCTCAACTCAATCTTCACAAACCTGCCCTTGCCTGGTTCGAATCCTACCTCACCCACCGACTCCACTTTGTCTCCACTAATGGCTTCTCCTCCAACCCCCGCAGCTCACGTGTGGTGTCCCTCAGGGCTCTGTCCTTGGCCCTCTCCTTCACTATCTACATGGTGATGACACCCAACTCTTTCTCTCTGCCTCCATCCTCTCCCACACTGGGCTCCGTGACCCTATCACCCCCATCCTCACTCGACTCCACTGGCTTCCCATCGCACAGAGGATACAATTCAAGATCCTGGTCCTTACTTTCAAAGCCCTCCATTGCTTTGCTCCCCCCGACCTCTGCGATCTCCTAACCCCCTACCACCCTATTTTCTCCCTCTGCTCAGCGGGCTCCGGGCTACTTCACGTCCCCCGCCTCGCCCCCTCCCTCGCCTCCTTCAAGATCTGTCTCAAGAACCTTCCACATGTATGCGGATGACACCCAACTCTACCTTTCCTCCTCTACCCTCAACTCCACGACCCCCGATGTCCTGACAGCTGTCTGTCCGACATCGAGTCCTGGACGGGAGACAACTTTCTTCAGCTCAACGTGCGAAAAACCGAGGCCCTCCTGATTGGCTCACATCAGCGCCTCCGTACCTCAGGCGCTGACAGCATCAGCTCCGCACTCTCCACCTCTCAAAGCCATCAGGAACCTTGGGGTTCTGTCCGACCCTGAGCTGTCCTTTCTCCCTCACATCCGCACCACAACTGGCACCGCCTTCCATCACCTCCGAAAGATCGCCAGACTACGGCACTACCTCACCCCTCACGCGGCTGAAACTCTGGTCCACGCCTTTGTCACCTCAAGGCTGGACTATGGGAACTCTCTCCTCGTCGGCCTTCCCGCACCTCCCTCCACACTGCAGGTCATTCAGAACTCTGCAGCTCGTGTACTGTCCGCACCAGGCACCGCGACCACATCACTCCCACCCTCGCCCTCGCCCTCGCCCTCACCCTCGCCTTCGCTCACCTCCACTGGCTCCCCATCCCCCAGAGGATCGAATTCAAGATCCTCATCCTCACCTACAAGGCCATTCACAGCCTTGCTCCCTCCTACCTCTCCGACCTACTATCTCCCTACTTACCTGCCCGTACCCTCCGTCCCTCCGGCTCCGGTCTGCTCCACGTCCCCCGCCCCAACCGCCCTACCATCGGTGGCCTTCAGCCTCTCAGCCCCGAGGCTCTGGAACTCCATCCCCAGTGCCTTCGCCGCTTCCTCCCTTTCCTCCTTCAAGGCCGGTCTCAAGACCTTTCTCTTCGACTGTGCCTTCAGCTCCCCTCTCGACTCTATAACCCCTCCTTGCCCCCTCCCTTCCCTCTCCTCACCCTGACCATTTCCCCCCTCCTCGCTCCCTCCCTTCCCTCCCCCTGACCATTTCCCCCCCAAGGCTTGGGTCCCGACCCAACTGTCCAGCGCCTTGGGACGTCCTTCTAACGTGAAAGGCGCTCTATAAATGAAATCTTGTTGTTGTTGTTTCCCCCCCTGCCCTCCACCTTCCCCGATCCCGACTCCCAGCTCGGGTCTGAAACACTGATTGTTCAGCGCCTTGGGATGTCCTCCCAACATGAAAGGCCAACATGAAAAATGTAATTTTGTTGTTTGTTGCTGTTATCATAAGAACATAAGAATTTGCTGGCGAAAGTAGACCAAGGTCCACGTAGTTTGCCTTCCACCATCCTGGCAGTCACTTGACATGTTGTATCCCAACTATACCCTGTCTCCTGAGATATTGTTTTCTAGCAGAAATCTATTTCATTTTTTCTTGAAACAAACGACACTTTCTTCTGCTTCCATCATGTCCTTAGAGAGCCTGTTCTATATGTTTGCTACTCGTGTTCCATTAGTTTACTTAGCTTGGATAGCACAGCAACCCCGCAACTGTGGTGAGCTCAAGGCCCTCTTTGGGCGGGTGTGGGGGCGCACAGGGAGAGTGTCAAACCAGCCTCAGGCCTTCCGATCCTGTCCTGAGAGAGGTGGGGGAGGGGGTGGGGGGGGGGGGGCAAGGGAACAAGGCATCAGAAACTGGCACTAGTTAAAACGCTGAAAGGCAGAGGCTGGGAGCTTGGGTTCCCTCTGTTGTTGGGAGAAGGGAAGGTCTGTACAGTGTAATGTACAGGGCTGGGTTGTGTCCACCCTCCCCTCCCCACCTCCCCTTCCCAATCACTTGAGCCTGATAACTTGTGCCCAGGCCAGGGGACTCTCCGGTCTGCGAGCCTCACACCCCAGAGCCGCTACCGCGAGCTGCGTTCCAAACCCAAGGTGGGCGACGGTAAGCAGACAAGCAAACCAGCTGTGTCGGGAGCGAGGGAGAGGGGGATAGGGCGCGGCACAGCCTGGAGATCACTGCTAATATAATGTTAAGAAGCCTTCAGTACAACTGCGGATATTATTATTCTGAGCCATCCTTGTTCACTTGGCTGCTCTCCTCTCTCTCTCTGCCCCTCGCCCTGTATTGGAGCTCTCTCTCTCTCTCTCTCTGTAATGTTATTGGATCTCTCTCTCTCTCTGTGTAATGTTATTGGATCTCTCTCTCTCTCTCTCTCTAATGTTATTGGATCTCTCTCTCTGTAATGTTATTGGATCTCTCTCTCTCTCTCTCTGTGTAATGTTATTGGATCTCTCTCTCTCTCTCTCTGTTATTGGATCTCTCTCTCTCTCTGTGTAATGTTATTGGATCTCTCTCTCTCTCTCTCTGTGTAATGTTATTGGATCTCTCTCTCTCTCTCTGTAATGTTATTGGATCTCTCTCTCTGTGTAATGTTATTGGATCTCTCTCTCTCTGTGTAATGTTATTGGATCTCTGTCTCTCTCTCTGTGTAATGTTATTGGATCTCTCTCTCTGTAATGTTATTGGATCGCTCTCTCTCTCTCTGTGTAATGTTATTGGATCTCTCTCTCTCTCTCTCTCTGTGTAATGTTATTGGATCTCTCTCTCTCTCTCTGTTATTGGATCTCTCTCTCTCTCTGTGTAATGTTATTGGATCTCTCTCTCTCTCTCTGTGTAATGTTATTGGATCTCTCTCTCTCTCTCTGTAATGTTATTGGATCTCTCTCTCTGTGTAATGTTATTGGATCTCTCTCTCTCTGTGTAATGTTATTGGATCTCTGTCTCTCTCTCTGTGTAATGTTATTGGATCTCTCTCTCTGTAATGTTATTGGATCGCTCTCTCTCTCTGTGTAATGTTATTGGATCTCTCTCTCTCTCTCTGTGTAATGTTATTGGAGCTCTCTCTCTCTCTCTGTGTGTAATGTTATTGGATCTCTCTCTCTCTCTCTCTGTGTAATGTTATTGGATCTCTCTCTCTCTCTCTCTGTGTGTGTGTGTAATGTTATTGGATCTCTCTCTCTCTCTCTCTGTGTAATGTTATTGGATCTCTCTCTCTCTCTCTGTGTAATGTTATTGGATCTCTCTCTCTCTCTCTCTCTCTGTGTAATGTTATTGGATCTCTCTCTCTCTCCGCCTCTCCCTGTTATTGGATCTCTCTGAAGCTGTTGTGGCTTTGAGGTTGGTTTAGTCCCATCACGTGAGCTCCTGGTGTTAGTGGAGGAAAAGCGAAGCAGAGAGAGAGGGAACTGAGAGAGAGAGAGAATAGAGAGAACACACAGAGTGTGAGAGAGAACACAGAGAGAGAGAGATACAGAGAGTTGCAGCTGACACCAATGCCTCACTGATCAGTGCTGGTGGTGTTCACACGCCAACACTGAGCTGCTGAAAGGTTTACTATTTTTTTGGCTCCAGATTTTTTAACAAAAAATCTATTTATTTATATATATGTATATGTATATATATATATATATGCCTCTCAAGTGAATTGCGAGCTCCTGGGCTGACCTGACAACTTTCTGAAGCAGGAAAAGAAGAGGAAGGAAGAAGGAAAGCCAACATCTTGAGGACAAAAAAGATTATTATTATTTTTATATGATTATTTTCTCTTATGTTTCCCACCACCACAATCAGCACCACTTTGGAAACCAGTTGGAGAAGAGAAGATCGCCTGGACTTCTAATTTTTTTTGTGTGTGTGTGTGTGTGGGGGGTGGAGGAGGAGAGAGGGTTTTATTTAATTTTTTTTTGGACAGGAGAAGAGAAAAACAACTCCCAACACAACCCATTTCCACCTGAAGGCACAGACAGACTGACTGACTGACTCTCGAGAGGAGGGGACAGAAAGAGAGCAGAAGGAAGAGAGCGATTGGACTTCAGCAACAGAACAAAATCACAGCGATCGACTTACTTGTTGGTTGGAGGTGGAACAGCTTTTTGCTAAACAGAAGAAGGAAAGGAGAGAGAGAGAGAGAGAGAGAAGAGGAGAGAGGAGAAGGAGAGGATCTTAAAAAGGATTGAGAGAGATTTTGCCCCACTGCAGACCTGGTTGGTTGCAGACAAGAGAACCAGGCAATACACAAGCTTTATGCTGCTCTTAAAATATATGCCGGGTTAGTACAGGCTTCAGGGGAGAAGCAATCACCCCCCCTCTCCCTCTCTCTCCCTCCCTCTCTCCATCCCTCCCTCCATCCCTCCTCTCTCTCTGTGTTTCACTCCCCTCTCTCTCTCCCTCTGAATGTGCGTGGATTTAAATTGAGATGCAATGCCTGCAGCTCGCAGCTCTCTGCGTGGAAGGATCATGAAGTGTCTGACTTTCTTTCTTATGCTTCCAGAAAGCTTGAAAAAGTCTAAAAAATCCGTCGGCAGCAGCAAAGGCAACAGCAGCGGCAAAGGCAGAGGCAAACTGTGCTATGAGATCGTAACGCTGTCTGTGAATAAGAAAATGGCTGCAGAACTGCACCCGAGCCAAGCCCCCAGCTCCCAGCACAGCCAGCACCACACCAGCAGCCACAGCAAGAGGGGTGCCCACACCCCCAGCAGCACCCAGCACAACATCAACAACAACCACATCCACACCGCCAGCACCTGGCAGTGCGTCTACCCCAGCCTCAGGGAAAGGTTAGTCCTCCAGCTCACACCAGCACACACACACACACCAGCACACACACACACACACACACCAGCACACACACACACACCAGCACACACACCAGCACACACACACACCAGCACACACCAGCACACACCAACACACACCAGCACACACACACCAGCACACACACACACACCAGCACACACACACACACACCAGCACACACACACACACCAGCACACACACCAGCACACACACACCAGCACACACCAGCTCACACCAGCACACATACACACACACACCAGCACACATACACACACACACACACACACACACCAGCACACACACACACACCAGCTCACACACACACACACCAGCACACACACACCAGCACACACACACACACACACCAGCACACACCAGCACACATACACACACACACACCAGCACACACACACACACACACCAGCACGCACACACACACACACACACCAGCACACACACACACACACAGTACCCCCAGCACACACACACACACAGTACCCACCCCAGCACACACACACACACACAGCCCCCAACACACACACACACACACAGCCCCCAGCACACACACACACACACAGCCCCCAGCACACACATACACAGCCCCCAGCACACACACACACACAGCCCCCAGCACACACATACACAGCCCCCAGCACACACACACACACACAGCCCCCAGCACACACACACACACACAGCCCCCAGCACACACACACACAGCCCCCAACACACACACACACAGCCCCCAACACACACACACACACAGCCCCCAGCACACACACACACAGCCCCCAGCACACACACACACACAGCCCCCAACACACACACACACACACAGCCCCCAGCACACACACACAGCCCCCAGCACACACATACACAGCCCCTAACACACACACACAGCCCCCAGCACACACATACACAGCCCCCAGCACACACACACACACAGCCCCCAACACACACACACACACACACAGCCCCCAGCACACACATACACAGCCCCAGCACACACACACACACAGCCCCCAGCACACACATACACAGCCCCCAGCACACACAGCCCCCAGCACACACACACAGCCCCCAGCACACATACACAGCCCCTAACACACACACACAGCCCCCAGCACACACATACACAGCCCCAACACACACACACACAGCCCCAACACACACACACACACAGCCCCCAACACACACACACACACAGCCCCAACACACACAACACAGCCCCCAACACACACACACACACAGCCCCAACACACACACAGCCCCAACACACACACACACAGCCCCTACACACACACAGACAGCCCCCACACACACACACAGCCCCCCCAGCACACACACACACACAGCCCCCCCCCCAGCACACACACACACAGCCCCCAGCACACACACACAGCCCCCAGCGCACACACCACACCACACAGCCCCCAGCACACACACACAGCCCCCAACACACACACAGCCCCCAGCACACACACACAGGCCCCCAGCACACACACACCCCCCAGCACACACACACACACAGCCCCCCCCAGCACACACACACACAGCCCCCCCCAGCACACACACACACAGCCCCCAGCACACACACACAGCCCCCAGCACACACACACACAGCCCCCCCCACACACACACACACACACAGCCCCCAGCACACACACACAGCCCCCAGCACACACACACACACAGCCCCCAGCACACACACACACACAGCCCCCAGCACACACACACACAGCCCCCAGCCCCCACACACACACACACACACAGCCCCCAGCACACACACACAGCCCCCAGCACACACACACACAGCCCCCAGCACACACACACACAGCCCCCAACACACACACACAGCCCCCAGCACACACACACACAGCCCCCAGCACACAGCACACAGCCCCCAGCACACACACACAGCCCCCTTACACACACACACAGCCCCCAGCGCACACACACACAGCCCCCGCACACACACACAGCCCCCAGCACACACACACAGCCCCCAGCACACACACACACACAGCCCCCAGCACACACACACACACAGCCCCCAGCACCACACACACACAGCCCCCAGCACACACACACACAGCCCCCAGCACACACACACAGCCCCCAGCACACACACACAGCCCCCAGCACACACACACACAGCCCCCAACACACACACAGCCCCCAGCACACACACACACACACACACACAGCCCCCAGCACACACACACACACACAGCCCCCAGCACACACACACACAGCCCCCAGCACACACACACACAGCCCCCAGCACACACACACAGCCCCCAGCACACACACACAGCCCCCCCCAGCACACACACACAGCCCCCAGCACACACACACACAGCCCCCAGCACACACACACACAGCCCCCAGCGCACACACACACATACTGGGGGGATGGCTTTGTATTTATTTATATATATATTTAAACAAATGATTGTTTTTCCGAGTTTGCAATTTCTGAAAAGAGTTTTCTTCGTCAACACTCCGAGACGCTACCCCTTTATTATTTACCTCTTTATTAAAACAATATACAATAATAATCGTAATCTTTGCATTTGATATAATGCCTCATCAAGTTGTTGAGACATCCCAAAGCGCTTCACAGGAGATACTGTAAAGTGAAGTGACTTGTGTGTTTTGTGGGCTAAACACGACACCCAATTGCACCCGGTTGTGTCCCACAAACAGTCGTGGATTAAGCATGTGAAGAGCGCTATATAAATGCAAGTTATAATGTTTATATATTAAAAAAATTATAATTTGGTCACTCAATCCATGACTGTTTGTGGGGACGCTGCTGTGCGCAATTGGCTGCCGCGTTTTGCCCACAAAATATAGTCAATTCATTTTACAGTATATTCTGTGAAGCGCTTTGAGATGTCTCGAAGACATAATAAACGCAATATTAAACGCAAGGATTATTATTATATATAAATGTTATGATTACCTCCCTTCTCTCTCCCCCACTCCTGGAAAGTTGTGATGGTGTGTTTTTTTTGGAGGGGTTAGAGAAAGTGTTGAGAATATAAACTGAAGCTCTGAGCTGATCTCTCTCCCTCGCCCCCTCAGGAACGCTGTGATGTTTAATAACGAACTGATGGCTGACGTACATTTTATGGTGGGAGCACCAGGCGGGACCCAGCGAGTGCCAGCTCACAAGGTGTGTGTGTGTGTGTGTGTTCGTGTGTAAACAACTCAACTGTAATAATACATGAACTCAGTTAAGCCGTGATCGTTACAGCACTGAGCAGGCTGTGCAAGGTTTAAAAAATACACAAACATAATCTAAAACAAAAGCATAAGTTCGTGGCAGACAATAGTGAGATTCATTGGCTCCCTCCTAACTTCCCTTCCTGGTTCATGACAGCTTCTTACATAAAGGAAAAACAAGTTTACAAATGGCCACTGTACGAGAGGCTGGGATCTCAGCAGTCAGTAGGAACCCGGTTGTTAGTCGATTGGCGGATTGTTTTCCAGGGGTAATAATCCCTCCCCCAAAAAAATCATTTGGTCATTCAATCCATGACTGTTTGTGGGACACTGCTGTGTGAAATTGGCTGCTGTGTTTCACCCACAAAATACAGTCAATCCACTTAACATTCTGTGAAGCGCTTTCAGACGTCTCAACGACATGATAAGATGTGAGAGGGGGGGGGTTAGAGAAAACGTTCAGAATATAAACTGAAGCTCTGAGCTGTCTCTCTCCCCCCTCCTTCAGGAAAGCTCTGATGCTTAATAATCAAATGCAAGGATTATTATATTAGGATTACTATTATTATTATCTGCACTGCCTGTCCTGAGTGTTTGTGACTGACTGCCACATTCCCTCTCTCTCTCCCCTCAGTATATCCTCGCGGTGGGAAGCTCAGTGTTCTATGCCATGTTTTACGGAGAGCTGGCGGAGGATAAATCCGATATTCATATCCCAGATGTGGAACCTGCGGCTTTCCTCATACTGCTGAAGTAAGGGCTTTTCCCTTCAATTTATATTGGGGATGGATTTACTGAGTTCTAAGTAAACCTTTGAAGTCCGGTTGGAGTAATCCTTTCTCAAGTCAATTAGAATGCAAAGTTAGCGCAGGTATCGCCACAGGAAATAAGCTCTGATTGAAAGAAAAAAAACGAGGCCATTTTAATTTTTACTTAACTGGTTAAGTTTTGACTTTAGTTAACTGGTTTAAGTTTTAGTTAACTGGCTAACTAAACATCGACTGGTTTAAGGGGCCTTTCAATTTCAGCATTTGTCCCAATACAACAAATAAAACCTGCTTACTCTCTCTCTCACGCACACACGAGGGGGGAATATACCACAACTCATTTGCTTTCTACGCATGAAAACAAATCAAAGCCTAACCCTCTCTCCAACTAAACGTACTACATCAACTTTGCATTGTTCATGAAATTCGCTGACAAAATAGTCAATGCACTTTATGTGAGGCGCTTTGAGACATCTCAACGACGTGATAAGTCGCTATATCAAATAAGGATTATGATTATTATTATCAGTGCCTGACCTTTAACCCCCCACCCCTTACCTTTGCAGGTATTTATACAGCGATGAGATTGATCTGGAGGCGGACACTGTGCTGGCCACACTATACGCTGCTAAAAAGTACATTGTTCCTTATCTGGCCAAGGCGTGTGTGAATTTCCTGGAGACCAGCCTGGAGGCTAAGAACGCATGTGTCCTGCTATCCCAGAGCCGGCTGTTTGAGGAGCCCGAGCTGACACAGCGGTGCTGGGAGGTGATCGACGCTCAGGCGGAGCTGGCTCTCAGATCGGAGGGCTTCTGCGAGATCGACCAGCAAACGCTGGAGATCATCCTGTCCCGCGAGACCCTCAACACCAAGGAGGTGGTGGTCTTCGAGGCCATCCTGAACTGGGCGGAGGCCGAGTGCAAGAGGCAGGGGCTGCCGCCCACGGCTAGGAACAAGCGTGGGGTGCTGGGCAAGGCTCTGTACATCGTTCGGGTGCCCACCATGACGCTAGAGGAGTTTGCCAACGGGGCAGCCCAGTGCGACCTCCTGACGCTGGAGGAGACGCATGACGTCTTCCTGTGGTACACCGCTGCCAACAAGCCTCAGCTGGAGTTCCCCACGGCGCAGAGGAAAGGCCTGGCTCCCCAACGCTGCCACCGCTTCCAGTCCTCCGCCTACCGCAGCAACCAGTGGCGTTACCGGGGCCGCTGTGATAGCATCCAGTTTGCGGTGGACAAGCGCATCTTCATCGCGGGATTGGGTCTGTACGGCTCGAGCTGCGGCAAGGCCGAGTACAGCGTGAAGATCGAGCTGAAACGTCAGGGCCTGGTGCTGGCTCAGAACCTCACCAAGTTCGTGTCGGACGGCTCGAGCACCACCTTCTCGGTGTGGTTCGAGCACCCGGTACAGGTGGAGCAGGACACCTTCTACACCGCCAGCGCCGTGCTGGACGGCAATGAGCTCAGCTACTTCGGGCAGGAGGGCATGACCGAGGTGCAGTGCGGGAAAGTCACCTTCCAGTTCCAATGCTCGTCAGATAGCACCAACGGCACCGGAGTGCAGGGGGGGCAGATCCCTGAACTCATTTTCTACGCATGAAAAACAGACGACGCTTAGAACAACACCCCCCCCGCCCCTCCCCAAACCATACTTTGCATTCAACTGCTGCTAACAGAAGAGGGGCTGGTCATCACCCACACCTCCCCCTCTCCACACCCCAACTCCAGGCTTGTTGCCTCCGACTGATGGTAAACTAACCCCTTTCTCTCCCCCCCCAGCCCAGCCCCCCCCCCCTCCCCCCACATCCTGCGACTACACTCCGCTTCCTGCTGCCAACACGGAGCCTGACGATCTGCAACTCATATTTCGTTGAACGAATGTTTTTTTTTCTGACTGTAAATTAATTTTATTTATTTGAAGGGTAAATGGGCTGAGAATGGTGTATCTGCTGTGAAGGAGTGACCAGTGGGGGTGGGGATGGGGTCTGGCCCGTGTATACACACAGGTGACGGTTAAATACTGTGGCTTGAAGCTGACCGATGAAATGGAATGTCTGACACACATCCGTGTACTTGCAATCGATAAATGTGTACAGTATAAAGGTTTTGTACAAGATTCTACTGATCGTGGCGTGGTCTTTATTGCAGGTTAATTGGATGGAGGAAGAGAGAAGGGTGGGGTTCTTTAAACTCTTTTCTCCCCCACCCATCGGTCTGATTAAGCAGGCCAGTCCTGTAGCTCGGTGGTTAGAGCACTCGCCTCGCAAGCGAGAGGACTTGGGCTCGATTCCCGGCAGGGCAGAACCTTGGGCAAGTTTCACACGCCTGATAATAATCCTTCAAGGAAAGAAAATAATTTGGTCGCTCAATCCACGACTGTTTGGGATGCCGCTGTGAGCAATTTGGCTGCTGTGTTTCGCCCACAAATATACAGCCAATTCACTTTACAGTGTAACGTGAAGTGCTTTGGGACGTCTCAGTGATATGAAAGGCGCTGTATCAAATGCAAGGATTATAAGTGAGAGGACCCGGGTTTGATTCCTGGGCAGCGCGAAACGTTGGGCAAGTTACCTTACTCCACATGCTGTGTTTTGTTGTTGTTTACCAGCAGGAAGTAAGAACCCGCTTGTTAGTCGATTGGCGGATTGCTTTCCGGGGGTAATAATCACTTAAAAAAAATAATAATTTGGTCACTCAATCCAGGACTATTTGTGGAACACTGTTGGGTGCAATTGGCTGCTGCATTTCACCCACAAAATATACAATTTACAGTGTGTCCCGTGAAGCGCTTTGAAACGTCTCGAAGACGTGATAAGGCGCTGCATCAAATGCAAGGATTAGTATTATTATTAAATAGGTCTCAGCCTGGGTGCAGGGAGGCTTGAGGGATAAAGAAGATAAAAGGATAATGTGAGGTTGTATTAACAGTACCATAGTGTTCAGCAGCAGCAGCAGCACACCCTCTGCTAAGGCCAGAGCTAACACAAAGCGCAGGACTGGAGAGACCTTCTGGAATTACTGTATAAAAGATTTGCCTGATGTAATTATTTTTTCAAACTGCCACACGTGGGAAATGAATCGCCGGCTTCCTTACAGCCGATGCCCAGCGGGGAAAACCTGGGGCCTGAAAGCCCGGAGTGTTCCCCTGAAGGCCACTCTCTACACGCGAAGCCTGAGACTTTCCTAAGCTGTTTTTCCCCACTTTGCTGCAGACTTGGTTAGAAGCTGAAAATGCTGGGGCTTGGATTGCAATAACAGCTGCTTGTGTAAGAGAGGCCCCAGGAAGAGAATACTGATGTCCTCTGGGAGCGAGCGGAGAGGCACAGAGGGAGAGACGGGGAGGAAACCTGCAGTAAATGACAGGCGAGATAAGCAACATCCAACATGAATAAACTGATCCTGACCCAGAGGTTCAGTTGCCCACACCCTGTGTTTTGAGAGTTGCCAGAGACCGTTGTCCCCACTGGAAATTTTGGGGAAGGGAGGAAGGAGCTGGCAGCCAGCAGAACATTCAGTTCAGCGCTGCCTAGGAACAGGAAGAGGCCATTCAGCCCATTGAGCTTGAACCGCCATTCTATTAGATTATGGCTGATTTGTACCTCAACTTTAATTACCCGCCTTTGCCCCATGTCCGCTTGATATTCTGACCTAACAAATATCTCTCCTTGGTCTGTTTTTGTCTAGCATTTCTTATGTTCTTGTCTATCCACCTCAGTCCAGCTGGCAAGCCTGAGACCATCGCTCACACACTGAGCGGCGAGGGCTGGGAACCCGGAGTGTGGCACTGACTGCCCGGCACCACAGCCGTCACTGAGAGGGCAGACCGCAACTCATCACAACAACAACAACAACAACCACAATTTGTATTTATATAGGGCCCTTCACGCAGGGTAGTGTCCAGACCGTACCAGACAGGGTTTACCTGACAAAACAACAACTCGTGGATTCACACCAAAGTGCTCCCATGTCAATCAGAGTACATCATCACAATCGCTTGCATTTATAGAGCGCTCTGCAATAACAACAACTTCACTTCTATATAGCACTCTGCAAGCCCATTAAGCACTTTACAGTTCCTGCCCCGGCTCAGCCACTGTTGGCGCAGTGGAAGAGGAAGGTCTTTGGGTGTGATCTGAAAATGGGGATGGAGCAGAGTGGCCCTCATGCTAGTGGAGTGATCTTGCTCAGAGCACTGTCCAAGACCCTGAGACCATGGAGCAAAATCTAACGGGGAAATTTATTTTCTCACTTAAGTCATGAAGCGAGCTGGGAGAGCGAGCTAGATCGTGGGACTGACTAAGTAAAAGCACGAGAGAGGGAGGCGGTGGTGTCTCAAACATCAGCCCAGTGGCCTCCGTTGTGCTGAACACATGTTTCTTACCCTACCAGCCAGCGGCCTCTCTGCTGTATGGCCAGACACAGAGCCCAGGCCTGTTCTGAGTCAGCATAATCTCACAGCGCATCAAGGGGATGTTCAGTATTATCCAGAGACAGATAGAAAGAACAAAGGCAGCCAGGTCCCAACGCTGCACTCACTAGGCTCTGCTAGACGCCTCCCCAGACACACACTCAGGCCCGTCACCCGCTGTGACACAATCCGCCAGATTCCATGCTTCTCTTTATCTCCATATAAAATCAACAAGAGTTTCAGACCCACTGTGTGCCCACTATAGAGTCCTGTAGCTCAGTGGTTAGAGCACTTGCCTCGCAAGCGAGAAACCTGGGTTTGATTCCCAGGCAGGGCAATACCTTGGGCAAGTTTCCTTACTCCACACACATACACACACACCTGTTTACCGAGCAGTAAGTAGGAACCCATTAGTCAATTGGCGGATCACTTTCGGGGAAGGTAATAATCTAAAAAAAAATTGGGTCAGTCAATCCACGACTGTTTGTGGGACGCTGCTGTGTGCAATTGGCTGCCGCGTTTCACCCAGAAAACACTCGGTCAATTCACTTTACAGTGTATCCTGTGAAGTCCTTTGAGATGTGATAAGACGCTATATCGAATGGAAGTATTATTATTATTAATAATTATTGAGCTCACAGCCCAGGCTGATGCTGCAGCATAGTGCTGGAGGAATGCTGGATTATCATTTGGATGATACCTCCTCCCAGTGTGAAAGGTGTATATAAATGTAAATGTATTGTATTGTACTGAGAGGTTAAATGCATGTCCCATCTACCTGTTCAGGTGGATATTACATGGCACTGTTGGAAACAAGAAGAGAGATTCTCCCAGTTTGTGGCCAACATTCTTCCAGATTAATCACTTCATGGCTGTGTGTGAGGCCTTGCAGTGCTCAAAATAGCTGCTGCATTTGCCCACAAATTGTCACCACACATCACAGTTTAAAACAGTTTGAATATTGCCTGGTGGATTATTATATACAGTAAAACTTGCATAAAACTAAACTGTATAAATCATACATCTGCCCAAGACCTATTCAGGAGTTTATATTTTATGCAAGTTTGACATAACTCATACTTTACACAAGTCATATTAAATGACTTTCGCCCACAAAATAATCAGTCAATTAAGTTTACAGCATATTCTGTGAAGCGCTTTGAGAACGTCTCAAAAACGCGATAAGGTGCCACATCAAATGCAAGGATTATTATTATAATAAATGTATGGTCCCAACTGATATGACTTGTGAGGTTTACTGTATTCCAATCTTTACCTGTGAAACACTCAGACAATCAGACGTGAACAGCACAATACCAAATGTGGGGATTATATTATATAAGATCTCACAAACTAGGAGAGAGAGAGAGAGAGCTTGGGTCTCTGGCTGTACACAAAATAAAACAATGCTTTTAACATGAAACTGGTTTCCACGTTCCTTCCTGGAACTGGGCCTAAAGTCCCAAATTAGAGAGGCCGAGAGCAGCACTGGGAATGGTGAGCTGGGGCTAAAAATAACCACTCAATGAGCTGTGTTACATCCCAGGAAATTATTACCAGGCACCCTGTTCACAATGTAATGTAGAGCACTGCAGGCAGGCTGATCTCTCACTGTGTCACATCACACAGCCACAATAAGACCCTTCATCTACAATACTTACCCACTGCAGCATGAAGCCAAGGGAGTGGGGGCTGGGGGTGAGGCCGGATGAGGAGGGCGAGGGGTGAGGAGGGCGAGTGGTGAGGAAGGAGGGAGTTGGGGTGAGGCTGGGTTGAGGGGTTGAATGAGATTACCTATAGCTGGTGCATTTATACACAGCTCCCTGGCCAGCAGCAGGAAGGTCTTGCCCAACACATAGACGTTCACCTGAAAGAAAGTAAAGGCAGATTAACACACGGCTGCTCTCAGTCTGATTGCCCGCTCACAGCTCAGGCTGGCAAACACTGTACAGCTGTACCATACACTTTCCCACTTGGAGGGGTCTCCAAGGCTTCTCAGAACTGACAGGGACCTCAAGCTCAGTGGTGTATGTGTGTATTTGTGTGTGTGCATGGGGGGGAGGCAGTGTGTGTGGGTGTGCGAGTTGGGGGGGAGACAGTATGAGTGAGTGTGTATGTGGGGGGTTAAGGGAGCAGTGAACAAAATGGCAGAAAGATAGGCTTTAAAGGTGGGGGCGAGGCAGAGTGACCCAGGGATGGCTGAAAGCTTGCCTGCTGATAGGGGGGCTGGTCGGAGCGGAACATAGGAGGAGGCCATTCAGCTCCTCGAGCTTGTTCCGTCATTCTATAAGATCACGGCTGATCTTTACCTCAACTTCAATCACCCGCCGTCGCCCCATATCCCTCGATATCCAACAAACATCGATCATATCCACCTCAGCCTTGAAAATTTGACTGCGGACGTGAATGAGTGGAGAGAGGGTCTGGGGTGTGTGAGGTGAGTGGAGGGAGGGTCTGGGGTGTGTGAGTGAGTGGAGGGAGGGTCTGGGGTGTGTGTGAGTGAGTGGAGGGAGGGTCTGGAGTGTGTGAGTGAGTGGAGGGAGGGTCTGGGGTATGTGAGTGAGTGGAGGGAGGGTCTGGGGTGTGTGAGGTGAGTGGAGGGAGGGTCTGGGGTGTGTGAGTGAGTGGAGGCAGGGTCTGGGGTGTGTGAGGTGAGTGGAGGGAGGGTCTGGGGTGTGTGAGGTGAGTGGAGGGAGGGTCTGGGGTGTGTGAGTGAGTGGAGGCAGGGTCTGGGGTGTGTGAGGTGAGTGGAGGGAGGGTCTGGGGTGTGTGAGTGAGTGGAGGCAGGGTCTGGGGTGTGTGAGGTGAGTGGAGGGAGGGTCTGGGGTGTGTGAGTGAGTGGAGGCAGGGTCTGGGGTGTGTGAGGTGAGTGGAGGGAGGGTCTGGGGTGTGTGAGTGAGTGGAGGCAGGGTCTGGGGTGTGTGAGGTGAGTGGAGGGAGGGTCTGGGGTGTGTGAGGTGAGTGGAGGGAGGATCTGGGTTGTGTGAGTGAGTGGAGGCAGGGTCTGGGGTGTGTGAGGTGAGTGGAGGGAGGGTCTGGGGTGTGTGAGTGAGTGGAGGGAGGATCTGGGACTCCCTTTGTAACTGATCAGCAGCAGCAGAATTGAAGATAAAGAAAAGGGAAACCGCTGGTCTCTGGGAGGAGATTGAGAGGGTGCGAGTGAGTGAGCAGAACACTGAGAAGGAGCAGCTGGGGAGACAGAAATAAATCAAAGGCCAGCTGTGCTTTTGTAGCATATACTGACAGAGCTCACAAACAAGTGGGAAGCTAATTTAGTCTCCTACAGCTGGCACTGGGGCAAAGTAAGCCCACAGGGAGGTCGGGATGGACAGGATGGGATATAATAATAATAATAATCCTTTGCCTTCGAGACGTCTCAAAGCGCTTCACAGAATATACTGTAAAGAGAATTGAAACGCGGCAGCCAACCGCACGCAGCAGCGTTCCACAAACAGTCGTGGATTGAGTGACCAAATTTATTATTAATTGGGAGGGGCAGAGGTTTGCTACGGAGGCCGAGACAGGGAACGAGAAAACCCCCGACCGACGTGGGGGTTTCAACTGACAACTTTCTGACTCAGAGACAAGAGTACGAACAATGGACTGAGCCAGGCTGACACCTGGACAGGGAAACCAAACCTCAACCAGTGACAGCATTGTGGAGAGGCTGCAGTGACCGCCATACCGACTTTGTATTATGCAAGGATTATTATTATTATTATTAGTCTAGCCGGATGGACTGTGTTACGACATCAACAACAAATTACATTTATATAGTGACTTTCATGTCAGGCGGATGTCCCAAGGCGCTGGACGAGGGTTTGCACCCGAGATGCGGGTCGGGATCAAAGAGGGGTTGAGAACAAGAGCCGCGGTGATGGGAAGATGACTGAAGTCACGGTCAAAGAAGACGGTCTTGAGATGGGCCTTGAAGGAGGCAAGGGAGGGGGTGAGGCGGAGGGGCTCCGAGATGGAATTACAGAGGGTGGGGGCAGAAAGGCCGAAAGCCTGACAGACGATGATGGGGCGGGCGGGAGACATGGAACAGGCCAGTGCCCAAGCCAAGCGGAAGAAGCGGACATGTTAATAGGGCGCAGAGATAGGAAGGAGGAAGGCCATGAAGGGATTTAAAAGCGAGGACCTTAAACTCAGCGAAGATGGGTGTGATCGGCTCATGAGCCGGGTGAGGGAGAGGACACGAGTTGCTGAGATCTGAATAATGTGCTGTGACTGTTCCTGGGCCAGCGGCTAGCAATACAGTGCTCACACTGAGAAGGCTCAGTGAGGATTGGGGAGGGCAGTCCAGGTGCCTCAGTGCCCTGGTGAACTGTGTGGCACAGCTACAGACATCAGCAGCACAATGTGCCGCTTTCATTCCAGGACCGAACAAGTCCAGCTGGCGTGAGAGAGCCAGCCTTGGGCTCACAGACAGTCACTGTGCACGACAGGACACCCTGTGCCCCACAAGACACCTCACACATCTTCCCAAACGTTTAACTGAAACGTTCTGAGATCAGAGTGTCTGTAACCCCCCGGTTTAGGGAGTCAAGAGACCAGTTGAGGAACGGTGGGAACCCTGTAACTCAATGTCTTCACAAGCCTCTCCGCAGCCCCCGATCGGCCTGACCGTTCTCTAGACCTCACCATCAGCAGATGAGCTTGCTGCCATTCTGCCACTCGCCCGCTGGAAGATCCAAGATCCTCTCGCTCGTTTTCAAATCCCTTCATGCCCTCGCACCTCCCTAGCTCTCCAACCTGTTTACCCCCCACTCTTCCACCCGTTGCCTCTGCTCGGCTGTCTCCAGCCTCCTGTTTGTCCTTCGTGCCCTCTGTTCCACCATCGTGCCTTCAGCCACTATGCCCTGAAACTCTGAAACTCTCCCTCAGGCCCTCTGCCTCACCCCCTCCCTCTCCACCTTCAAATCCTACCCAAAGACCTTCCTTTTTGATCGTGCTTACGATCACCTCCTCCCTCCCTCGCCCCATGGCTCATTGTCAGACTCTGCAACTGTGAAGCGCTCTGGGACGCTGCATGAAGGGCACTATACAAATGCAAATCGTTATTGTTGTTGCTCCACCCCTAGAGACCCTCCCCCAGAGCTTTCTTTTTAACCACACTTTTGGTCATCTTCAACACACTTTCCTCAGTTTCGTGTCTGTCTTCCCAACTCCCCCACCGCCCCAGCTCAAATTCCCAGTCAGTTGATGCAAGACATAACACAGGGACAGTGACACAGTGACAGACAGAGACAGAAACACAGGGACAGAGAAAGAGAGAGATGGACACAGAGAGACAGTCAGGGATAGAAACACAGGGACAGAGAGAGAGAGGGGGAGAGAGAGGGGGGGGACAGAGTGACACAAGACACACAAGAACAGAGACACAGTGACAGACACAAACAGACAGCAATACAGTAAAGATCAAATGTAAAAACAAGTGACACTCAAATTCCAATGACTAAGTGAAGGTTGCGACTTCCCACATTCCAGGATCCGGGCTCTCCGTCACTGAGGGCCATCAGCAAGTCTGACTGTTGCATTTCTGTAACAATCCTGGGCAGCACTAACACCCCCTCCCCCAGTGATGGCAACCTTGAACGCCCCCACTCCCCCCACCCCATTGCCACAAGGTGGCCAATTCCCCCACTGCCCTCCCCCGGCCCGATGACATCTTTCCTCCACTGGGGTTTGAAATGGACACAAACGTGTGACGTTAATGCTTCAAAACCATCGACATGGCTCCCATCGTCGAGTCGAGCTCCCATCCCACCTCCTGAACTCACAGTCCCCCCGCCTCGCCCCCTCCCTTGCCTCCCTCAAGGCACGTCTCAAGACCCTCCTCTTCGGCCACCCTCCAACCCCTACCTTCCCTGCCCTCCACCCTTCCTGATCCCAACCCCCCAGCTCGTGTCCAAATCCCTGACTCTCCGGCAGCTTGGGAAGTCCTCCCGATGTGAAGGGCACTGTGTAAATATCATGCGTTGTTGTTGATGCTGATTGCTGTCACTGTGTGGCTACAAAAACAGCTACAAAAAGGCTCATTGTCAAAAACCTGCTGATTAATCACTGCTCAACCAAACTGAGGCCCTCGGTCACACCCCTAACTCAGGCCGGGGTAAAACCCAGCACCTGCTCCTCCCCAGAGCCTTGCCTTGCTCAAACCCTTCCCCCCAGCGTCGCAGTTTGGGACAATACATACCTGGAGCAGGTCGCTGAGATCCAACAACATGTCTGAGCATCAAGTCAAGGAACTGAGAGCATCACAGAACACAAAATAAGAGACTGTCCGTTAATACAGGAGGCCCGTAGTGTATTGGTTAGAGCGCTCGCCTCACAAGCGAGAGCACCCGGGTTCGATTCCCGGGCAGGACGATTCCCAGGCAAGTTTCCTTACTCCACACCCCTCTGTTTATGTAGCAGTAAGTAGGAACCTGATTGTTAGTTGATTGATGAATCACTTTCTGGGGGTAATAATCCCTTAAAAAATAATGCGGCCACACAATCCACGACTGTTTGTGAGACATTGCTGTGCGCAATTAGCTGCCGTGTTTCACCCACAATCCACTTTACTATATATTCTGTGATGTGCTTTGAGACGTCTCAATGACGCGATAAAGTGTTATATCAAATGCAAGGATTATTTTTATTATTATAGCACCTTTCACATCAGGAGGACGTCTCAAGGCCGAGCATTACTGACTCGGCCCCCGGGGCGGGGGGAGAGATGGCCAAAAGAGCAGTCAAAGAGGTTCCGTCTTGATACAAACTCTCGTCTCCACAGGAGAGAGCATTGTGTATTGCACACACGCACTCACGGGGCTGTGATTGCAGTTTGCTGTGAGTACACTGGTAAAAGACAGCAAACAAACAGCAGGATGTAAAACGACAGTGAGCTCAAATAAATAAAGGAGCAACAGCCTGCAAACTGTCTCCATGTTACACTTAGCGGTGAGAGAGAGGGAGAGGGAGAGAGAGACAGAACAGTATCAGTGATTCCCTCTTCAATGGGTGTGAGCCGAGCTGATTCCCACCGTCACATTGAAGAGGAAGAAACAAACAGTTCAGACACTTCAAACAGCTTCAGAATGTATAAAAGCAAAGAGGGGGAGGAGAGGATTATTGAGCGGGACTGGGAGCCCTCCCCCCACATGGCCTTCAGAAGCTGTGCCAGCCACATGGCTTTGATAGATGCCGAGGTGCTTTTCATGTTGCAGCACAAACACCAAAGCCCCGCATTTCCCAGGAAACCGGGTGGGGACGTCTTCATTCTACACTGGGCCACACGCTCCCTCCCATTGTCTGACACAACCTGCCCCCACCCCCCACACACACACCTGGGGGGCCCGCGCACACAGCCAAGCACTCGCACGCACAGTACAACACACACATCAACACACACGCAGTACAGTACACCAACACATTTATTATTGTAAACACTGGCCAACCAATGTCTTTTACAATCAGCACATTTGCTCTGTGCTATTGTGTTCAATTCCCCCCTAACCCCAATGCTGACCCCAGACCAGAATTTCTGTTTCCTCCACCAAGTGTGTGCGCGTTAGGGCTCAGTAACCAACCAGTCATCAGGACCTGAGGCAGTTCTAACCAACGCGCTCAATCCTACTCAAACCAACTCGCTCGCAGGATAAACAAACACGGGGCTGACAACCCATGTTGTGTACAACAAGACAGAACAAACGCTAAAGACGCCTTTGGTCAGACACGATGCCTCAAACATGCCACAGAACGCTCCACACTAAACTCTGAGCTCCTGGCAGTGCCTCCAGTGAGGGCACGCTAACCTGCGCAAAGCTGAGGAAGGCAGATATCTGTCACATAGCCGACGAGGAAACTGCTGGAAGGTGTTACCTGGAGTCCAAGTTCGTGAACACACACACACGTTCATACATCCAGTGCCTGGAATCCACCTAGATTGGAGGGGGAGGAGAGGATTTAATGTTAAGCAGTGGTTAAACTCCGCACCTCCAACTGGTGGAACCTTCGCTCAATGGGCAGGAAGATGGTGGCAATGCTCTCACACATTTCACGCTGAGCTGTGTTGCCCACCAGGAAGCTCGCAGAGAGTTCCTGATTACCATAGTTTTGCCCACAAAGCACAGTCACCATACCCTACATTGTCTCCTGTGAAGCACTTTGAGCCGTCTTGATGTCGAGATAAGGTGCTATATCACATTCAAGAATTATTATTATCATTATTACCATCCCCCCAGGGAGGCTCACACCCTCGCTTGTCAGATGTCACCTCGGGGGGGGGGGGGTAGCAGGGTCTCCTCAACTGGCTCCAAGGTAACATATTTGGCAATGGAATGTCTTGCCAACTTGACTTAATACTCTCCCGGAATTAGGTAAGCAGGATGCATGCCCCCAGGGAGAGAGTGCGCATTCTATCCCAATAAACATCTCTGGAATTTCTTTGCATAGATGGGATACATGGAATTCCCAGCTTGGTTTGGATTCTCTTAACCACGATGATGGGTTTCCACATGTGTCAGAGGACAGACATCAACAGAGTGACGGGTTGAGTGCCTGAACTTTGCTCACATAGAATACGATTTAAATTTACACAGCGCCCTTCACGTAAAATAGCATCTCAAAAACCTTTACAGTGGTGGAGACAACCACAACAATAAATGACATTTACACAGCGTCTTTCACGTCAGGAGGACGGCCCAAGGCGCTGGACAGTCAGGGATCTGCACCCGAACTGGTGGTTGGGATCAGGAGGGGTGGAGGGTAGGAGGGTGGCCGAAGGCAAGATTGACAAAGAGGGTCTTGAGATGAGTCTTGAAGGAGGTAAGGCAGAGTGCGAGGCAAAGGGACTGTGGGATGGAGTTCCAAAGGGTGGGGGCAGAGAGGCTGAAGGCTCGTCTGGGACGGGCAAGGCGGGGGACTCGAAGCAGGCCGGAGCCCGCTGAGCAGAGGGAGCGGACAGCTTGGTAGGCGGTTAGGAATTGACGGTGGTATGGAGGAGTGAGGCCATGGAGGGCTTTGAAGGTGAGGATCAGAAGACAGACATTGAGCATGGGGGAGGGCGCATTCCCATCTCTGCCTTCCTGGACAATGTGTGTGTTGGCTGTGACACCCCGCATTCAAATACCCTGTAGACACTCACAAGTAACTTACAAGGCTCAGTGCTCACACAGAGGAAGACAAGTGCTCTGCAGTCAGACCAACATCACATAGATGTGGCCACAGTAGGCTGGACTTCACCCAATCTGAAAACTCTTCAGCTTATATGAGTCAGGCAGTAATGGTACAGGCACTCCCAGGTACAGGCAGTAATGGTACAGGCACTCCCAGGTACAGGCAGTAATGGTACAAGCACTCCCAGGTACAGGTAATGATGGTACAGACACACCCAGGTACAGACAGTGATGGTACAGACACTCCCAGGTACAGGCAGTAATGGCTCCTACGTGGTTGAACCCATACATCCAAGGAAAGGCTGTCATACATCAATGCCACAGTACGTCCACTCCCACTAGTGCCTTTGCCTCTCAGCCACACAATAGAACATTTATACAGCTCCTTTCACACTGGACTTCTCAAAGTGCTTTACACAGTTGGCTGAACACCCAAGCTGGAGAGGGGAATGAGGGGGGGGGGGCGGGGAGATGAAAGAAATCTTGATCAGAGGTAAGTTTTAAGGTGGGCTTTGAAAGTAGGGAAGGAGGTGGCAAGTTGGAGGGACTCCGGGATAAGAGATGCAGAGAGTGGGGCAGAGAGAATGTAATAAAGGTGTGTAATGTGGTATCACCTCAACCTAACCCACAGCCACCGTTAGCACCTTACAGGAGCAGATCTGGATTTTCTAATTCCCGTTCCCAAAGGCTCTCCAGCCAGGAATAGCGTGTGGTGGAGGCAGTGGGCGCTGAGCCAAGCCGAGGGATTTACACATTCCTCAGAGGCAGCGGCAAACAGTGCAGTGTGTTCCCGTCACTGAAATCCTCCCCCAACGATTTAACCTTTCACGTTACCGGCCCGCAGCCTCCGAACAGCGGGAACAGCGCACATCCCAGCTCCCAGACTTCCACATCCCAGCTTCCCGAAGGCCCCGGAAATGAGAACACCAGCGATCAGCTGTGATCCCGAGAATCGGTCAGCGCCAACAACATGCATTTACACAGGGCCCTGGCAGTTCAGGGAAGTGTAGTTTCTCGGAGAGCCTGACAGTGGTGGACCACAACCCCAAGCCGGGAGGTGGTGACCGTAGACACGGTCGAAGAGGAAGATCTTCAGACACGATCTGAAAATGGGGAAGGAGAGAGCAAGGTGGAGGGATTGAGGGAGAGAGTTCCAGAGTTTAGGGGGCGTAGTGGCTGAAAGCGCGGCCACCAATGGTGGAATGGAGGGCGACAAAGGACTTGCAGGAGGCCGGAGCCAGCTGAGCGGAGGCGACAGGTAGTGACAACAACTACCTGCATTTAAATAGCTCGCTTCACACAGGGTAACATCTCAACTCTAGAGCTAAAGGGGACTGAGAGAGTAAACCTAGCACTTCGCATCCCTGAACTTGCCAAGGCAGCAGTAGATGGTTTAACAAACAGCTCAACGCTGCGATGGGAGGAAGGGAAAATCCACAACTCATTTCCCATCTACATCGAGTGCCTCAAATCCATTTAATCACATTAACCCTTGGCCCTATGAGCACTCAGTTCCTCACTGCATTTCGTTCAGACACACTCATTCTCTGCGGTGTTCTGGCTTTAAGCGGCTCGTGAGATTAGCTGGAAAGAGAAGCGGAATAAATCCCCGCATTGCTCCTACCCACCATGGGCTGTGAACACAGCACACATTGGGGAGAGGGTGGGGGGACATTGTCGGAGGTGACCAAGAGAGCAGGAATGGGATTAGAGCGCTCCAGTGGGGGAGCGAGCACCAGCACAGACACGATGGGAAGAAAGAGAAAGCAGGGAATGGGGTTAGAGTAGAGAGCTCCAGTGGGGGAGCGAGCCCCAGCACAGACACGATGGGGAGAGAGAGAGAGCAGGGAATGGGGGTAGAGTAGAGAGCTCCAGTGGGGGAGCGAGCCCCAGCACAGACACCATGGGGAGAGAGAGAGAGAGCAGGGAATGGGGTTAGAGTAGAGAGCTCCAGTGGGGGAGTGAGCACCTGCACAGACACGTCTCAGTAAATCCTGTGAGTTGCTTTGAGATAGACAAAAGGCACTGTATCAAATGTGAGGATTATTTATATAGTGCCCATTAAGC